CTTCAAATTATTAAGCACATTAGTTTTTAAAGCATTTTAAATATAACTTTTCTTTAACTCTGCCTATAGAGTTTTGATGTAAATTTTAGTGTATCTAGATGGAATACAAGATACATACGGAGTAGAATTTTACTTAATGGTAATAAGCCAATGATTATGGCATTCAAATTCAATCTGTTGTACCAAATAAAGTTTGGCCTATTGGTAATGATTGAGCCTTTCAAATCTTAAGGTTATGAGTTCAATCCTCTCTAGAAGCACTTTAAACGTAGAATTTTCTTTACCCTTCCCCTACTCTTAAATACAAATTCAATCTGTGTACTAAACAAATTGGCCTATTGGTAAGCACTGAGCCTTCCAAACCTTAAGGTTACGAATTTAATCGTCACTAGAGGTTCTTTGAGGGTCGTAGAATTTCCTTTACCCTTCTCCTATTCTTAAGTTAACTTGTGTGAAGTTTCGGTCCAATAGGGCAATTCATCTTACCTACCTCAATATTGTCATATGACTTACTTCACAAAACATTAGCTCTACAAAAGGAGTCATTAACACTACTAATTTCAGGTAATAATTGACAAAGCGGTGAAAATTAACATCCATGAAATTTATGTTGTTTTTTTACGAATATATTATCTATATCAACCAAATAAACACCTAATTTTTGTATTCCGTATGGTATAAAATGCCACTTTAAATTGAAGTACTACTTAGGTAGTTGATCCATAAAGAACTCAACCGATGTCGACATTGTATACGGAAGTGACGGAACACTCGTCAAAGATCGAACACTTGATACAAAACACACTTCAGATTAGTTTTGAAGCGTAAAGTAAAGAGAGAGGTTTGAGTTTTTGGGAGAAAAAGTTAAGTGAAGTCGCCCAACGGTCCCCTCACCCCAAAAGGAAAGAAGAAGTCCAAATTTGAGAGCTGGAAAGGCGGGCCTCCAACGGGTCCGGGCCGGCCATACATCTGTCACATGCACCATATTATATTGTTGGCAGTTGGCTTTGTCCTTCATTTCCACCGTCTTAAACTCTTCATTCAAACCTAGACTTTAAATATCTCTACTAGACTAGTCCACTCACTCTGCTTGTTAGTTGTTACAGGAATTTTTTTTTTTCTTTTTTATTTTAAGAATTGAGTCAAACGGTTTTTTTTAAATGTTCCACTTTAACTGGTATATTTGTCAATAAGAAATTATAATTGATGATATCTTTAATTATCAATAATTTATAAAAAGTTGATGTTAAAAAACTATAATTTGAGACAATGCTTTTAACAATTGACAAGAATGACAACATGACTGTGTTTACTCTTATGGAAGATAAACACACATGACACATTGGTCAAAATAATATAGAAGAATAGTGCAAAAGTCAAAATAAGACCTTTACAAAAACTCGGAAGGAGTCAAAAGGAGTAATGAAAATTTATAGCTAGGTTGGATGAGAAGTGGAGAACTAATTCACTGATGAGCTATTAAAGGGAAATTCCATTTATTGAACCCACTTTGTGTCCTTCCTAGACTTAATTATTCGACGGTCCAATGAGGGTTGGCAACTTTGGTGTGAGTAAGAGTCATAAACATGTTGGAGGCTATGTGCTAATTAAAATAAGGAAAATGTTATCATAGCCCTTAGATCGAGCTACATATAAGATATTAAAAATAAAAAAAATCAAGTAAAAATATAACATTAATTACGCTAATTTATGCGTAATTTTGTCATGCATTCTAAAATTAATATTGTAACAAATTAGAAAAGATATCAAATACTTATTTTTAGCCCTAAAGACTACATATAACATTACCCTTAAAATAAAATTAGTCCAAAAGGTAAAAAAATTATGCATGATTTCAACATATAAATATATATACAAAGTATTCATTAATCATCAATTCATCATTATGAGTTCTTAAAGCATACATCAGGAAAGTTTAACTAAAATGCACAATAATATTAAATTTTGAAGCCCTCTTAGATTAAAGGATCCCTACACTGTTGGTAATTAGCTTAGTAACTAGTCAAACCGTTAACAAATCGAAAGTGGGTGGATGAATAAAAGACCAGAGTAAAGAAATACGAAGAAGTATGAGAAAGGAGAGTGATGGAAGTGACCACATGTAAGTAATAACTACGTACTTGTAATAAATTATATAACTAACTATATACTCCCTCCATCCCATAATACATAAGACGTTGGACTTTTTTTTACTATTCATACATTAGGTTTGATCATAATTTTTTACTAACATAATAAAAATATATTTTATCATAAAATATGTTGTTAGATAGGTTTTAATATAAAGTTTTATAATATAATTTTTAAAATAATTTTCATTAATATTGAATTATTGAATTATTTATTTTACAAAACTATTAGGCTATCATTTTGACCTTATATATATTATCCTTGTTCAATAAAATCTCTTTAACTTATTAACCCAAAGCCTATACTCTTTGGTTACCATAATTTATTGGAGAGCAAATTTTCCGAACTTTTTCAAATTGATATACTCATACATGGATAACAAAACAAACCATATTGATCTTGAAAAGAAAATTTATCTATTTACTCCTCCAATCAATCAAAAGCGTGAAAATGAGTTCATAAATTTAATTGATATTGGTCTACTAGTATGAGTTCCAATGATCATAAGTCACCATGCGAGACAGTTCTATTCATTATCGTGGGTACTTTGTGGCGTGAAATTCCTTAACCTTCACTTTTATGGCTGGGGTATGTATGATTATTTAGAATCTCTATTGTTGTTTTCTCATGAAGCATATCACGGTATCTATGAAAGAATCTGTGGCTTGTGTTAAACTCCTTTGTTGTTCATATATGCAAGTTATTCTAATTTGAGCACTTACTCCTCGTATATTAAATAAGAGGAAATTTTGACTTTTACCACCTTCAAATAACCACTTAATTGAATTTACCACCTCCAAAAAAAAAGATTTACTTTACCACCACCAAAATTTCCAAAAATTCGATTTTACCACCAACTAACGGATTCCGTCCATGAATCCGTTAGTAGGGCCCACCTTTTTGACGGTTCTTCTTCATCTTCCCCGATTTCCATATCAACCCAGCCGACAACGAAATTAACACACCATGGTTGGTCGGAATTTCGTGTGGGGGCAAGGGAGGGGTCGGAATTTAGTGTAACCTAGGGAGGTGATCGGAATTAGGTGGTGGTTAGGGTTTTAGGAGTGCGGAATTTGGTGGTGGCTAGGGTTTTAAGAGTTGTCGGAATTAGGGGGGCTATATGGTTGGTCGGAATTTGGTGGCTAGGGTTTTGAGGTCGGAAGTTGGTGAAAAGGGGGTCGAAATCCGGTGTGGGGGCTGTGGCTGTGCGGTGCGATGCGGTGGTTGTGGATTAGTGGGGTCGTTGGTCGGAATTTCATGTGGTCGGAATTTCGTGTGGGGGCAAGGGAGGGGTCGGAAGTTGGTGGTGGGGTCATTGGTCGTAGTGATTAGGTGGCGACTAGGGTTTTGAGGTCGGAAATTGGTGGAAAGGGGGTCGAAATCGGTGTGGTGGTTGTGCGGTGCGGTGCGGTGGTTGTGGCTGTGCGGTGCGGTGGTAGTTATTAGGTGGTGGGGTCGTTGGTCGTAACGGTTAGGTGGTGGGGGCTGGTAGCGGTTAGGTGGGGGGGCTGGTCGTAGCGGTCAGGTGGTGGGGCTGGTCGTAGTCGGTCCGGTGGTGGGGTCTCGACGGTGGCAGCAGCCACCAATTGATGGATGAGGTTTTTTAATTTTTTTTTTTGTTTTTTTAATTTTTTTTCTAAAGCTTACCCAATAATATGGCGACACGTGTGCAAGGTAGGCCCCACTAACGGATTTATGGACGGAATTCATTAGTTGGAGGTGATTGGTGGTAAAACTGATGTTTAATTTTTTATGAGGTGGTAAAGTAAATCTTTTTTTTTTGGAGGTGGTAAATTCAATTAAGTGGTTATTTGAAGGTGGTAAAAGTCAAAATTCCCTAAATAAAAATTGGTATTGGGATTGAATCTCCTCTAAAAATCTATTAGTGGATCAATTTGTACACCTTCCTATTTGATTTCCATGTCCATTTCAATATCTCTTGAATTTTAACATGGCTTGTTACCCAAATAGTAGAAGTCTATATCTAAGAGAAATTATAACCCCTTAATGCGCAAATATTAAGGTGCACCACGGCTATACTTTAATACATTTAGTAAAAAAAATTTGAACAATTGCAGTTTTGAACATTTAGTAAAAAAAATCTGAACAATTGCAATGCACCACGCCTATACTTTTGAACATTTAGTAAAAAAATCTAAACAATCGTAAATTTTGAACATTTAGTAAAATTTTTTGAACAATCGCAAATTTGAACATGTAGTATATTAAATACAACACTATATAATAAACATAAATTTTTTGAAAGAAGTTTGTCCGACTCGTAATATTTCAATAGTTTTGTAATATAAACTGAATATTTACTGTATATAAAATGAACATTTCTTTATAAAATATGAGCATATAAAATTGGATGTTTATGTTCATATTTTGTGATGTGTTCCTATTTTTTTTTTTACTAAATGTTCATTTTTTGTAAAGTGTTCAATTTTTTTTACTAAATATTCAAAAGTATAGACATGATGTACCTATTTCTAGGTGCACTATAGTGCACATAATAACCTTTGCCTAAACAAAATTATCTTTATCGTTTTCTTTGGGACTTGACTTTTATGTAGGTAACTTCAAGTAAACTTGATACCATCTTTCTCAAGTTAACTCATGTAGGTAACTTCTATTATTCTCGATTTCCTCACCCAAGTTAATTTATATGTAGACAACTACTATTTATATTTTGAGGACCCATACTTAAGTTATCAAACCCCTCAATAAACATTAAACAAGCAGAAAAACTTGTTGTTCGTGTTAATTAATTGAATTCTACCCTCTTGATATAGCTTCAAGATAGAAATATAGTCATTGTGAGAATTGTTGTCTACTAATTGAAAGGGAGTAATAGCCAATAGTTAACCCTCAAGATGAGCATTCAAAGGAAAAATATGGCTTGTCCATAAGCCCAAGTTCACAACAAAACGGGCTAAGCCTAATTACATTACCCTAATTTAGAGAAGGGGAAAAAAAAAAATGAAAATCTTGAATATTCCATATTCCGTTTGGGCTTGAAGTGAAGATACCTTGAGCCCCAAGGCCAAAATCCCCAATTGGCCAAACTAATTCCACAAATCATCTATATATCTCAACTCTACTAGTGGCGCCTCCGCAACTCGGCAGCGACTCACTGAGTCACCACCGCATTTTACAAAAACCCAGAAAACCGATTATCAAAGTTAGGAATTTTCAATGGGCGGTGGTAAACGAAAACCTGTCAACAAATCAAAACCGAGAAGACAACAATCCCTTTTCGTTGAAGGTGGCATTTTGGCTGGATTGGATTCCCCGCTTTCTTCTACTCCTCGCCGAGGTTTCTTCCTTTCTTCTTTCTCATAATTATTCACTGGGTTTTAAATTAGTTTTTTCAGTTTTTTTTTTTTATTTTGGGAAATTATAGAATGTTCAATTGCAGGCAAAAATTCGAATTTAAGATCCGGGAATACTAAAAATGGGTCGATTTCTGATTCTAAGGCTGCTGTGGAAAAATCCCCACCTAATTTTTATCGCTATGATTACCCTTCTATTGATTTCAAGGTATCATCATTCATCCTTTTTTTTTTTTGGTACTGAAATTTATTTCTGTTTTGTGGTGTTTGAATGAATCGTCTGATAGGTTAGTGTTCACTACTAATAATTAATTTAAGTTATTGTTGTTAAAATTTGATTATTTTTAACCACTTGTAAATACTGTACATGATTTTATAGCTCAAACTATGAAAATGTATGCTTTGAAATTTTTAGATCAAAATTCAACGTCTGAATTAGTAAATTTGTTATATGATAGGCTGTTGGGCAATCAGAATCTTGCATTGGGGGAAAAGATGAAGAGGGTAGATCAAATGGATTGCAGCCAGTTATCCTATTAGGCTCGAAAGAAAACAGGGTTTTTGCTTTTGAAGACGTATCACCGTCAATGGTGCCTTCTGAGGTGGAATATCGTTATGAGTATAATTCTGATTTTGTATTGGGGGAGAGTTCTCACAGTGGATTGGGGTTTGCTGATGAACAAGACGAAATCCCTTGTGTTACTGAGTTGTCATCTGGTATGATGGATGAAGAAGAAGAAGACGACGACGAAGAGGAAGAAGAAGAAGAAGAGCAGTTGCATACAGGATTGGGTTTCTCTAATATCCTAGAAAATTCAGCTAGTGGAGAGTTGTCACAGACAATTGTCCTTAAGGGAAGAGAGTGGAGCAATGGTTTTTCCACCAATGAGATTGAGGAGGATGGCAATGATGAGGGCTCTATGGATCAAGATAAAGATGAGGATGGTTCTGCTTTCCTTCATGATATATCAGATAAGACACCAGCATCTAAAAAAAATTCTGCATTTGTGTCAATTGGAGGTGTGAAATTGTACACCCAAGATATTTCTGATGACAATGAGGAGGAGGAAGAAGAGGATTCATCTGATGAGGGGAGCTCTTCTGGATCATCTGACAGTGATTCTGAAGGTAGCTCAGACTTTGATTCTGATATTGATGATGCCATCATGGATGATTACGTGGATGGAATAGGAGGAAGCAGTCAAATTTTAAAGTCCAAGTGGTTAGCATTACAGGATCTTGATAATCAAGTGCTTGGTGATGATACTGATGATGATTCTAGCAGCGATGCATATGGAGAAACTTTAAAAAAATTGAGTGGTGTTGCCCTTCAAGAAGCATCTAGGGAGTACGGTAGGCAAAAACAGCGTTCAAAAAAGAAGCCTCCAGTCAAGTCTAAGTCAAAGGGAACTGATGTTGATTGGTCTTCAGCTATGGATGATTTAATGCTAGTTAAGGATCCAAGACGACAATCTGCAAAGAAGAAGCATGTTGCTCAATTTCCTCAGTCATGGCCTTCTGAAGGGCAGAAAAGCAAAAGGTTCGGGAGGTTTCCAGGTATTGGTCTTTCATTGTTAATTAGGGATTAGTAGAGTACGCTTATAGCCCATCTGACTGTTGGTATATTCGTGTTGAGACTATAGGTAAATTTTGTAGGAAAGTTTCATGCAAATGTCCATCTTAAGTATTGCTTTTTCTTCAGACTTATTACCCTTTAATACAGCAGGCCACCTTTAAATTGATAATGTATATCTTACAAGTTAAATTTACTGACATATATTACCACTTATTATTTATGGGTTGTTAGTGTTTTTATGTGTTGCTGTTGTTTTTTTTTTTTTTTTTGAAATTGGTTAATAATGAAGGCATTTGTTATCTATGCTGGTTGATTAGGCAACAAATCCTGCTTCTGCTATTTTGAAACATAGTTTGTCTTCCGATAGAATGGTTGTCAATTTCTTCAGGATTCTATTATAAGTATAATAGAATCTTTAGTTCTTCACTGAGTTATTAGAATTTGCATTCATGGTTATTTAAACCTTGCTACTATTTTGATTACTGATTTTCCAGGTGAAAAGAAGAAACACCGTAAAGAGATGATAGCAGTGAAGCGTAGGGAGAGGATGTTGCGTCGTGGTGTTGATCTTGAACAATTAAACTCGGTAATCTATATATCTTTCTACATATCTATACTAAAGTGGAGCTTTTTCTGGAGGGAATATTCTCTCCTAAACTCTACTTTCTCTCTTTCTCTCTCTTCCTCTTTTTTTTCTTTTTTTTTTCTTTTCTTTTTCTTTTTTTTTTATATAATTGACTATTGATTAATATGTAGGATAATCTTAGCTATCTTTTGTGAGGATTTGCTTATATATTATTAAGTAGCTACCTCTTTATTGACTTTGGTGCCTTTCCTCACCAGCTTATGGTAAAGATTGGCACTCATGAGCTAATAAGGTTAACATTCATACTTAATTAAACTATACAATAAATTTTTGGAGGCTTATAAGAATAAAATTAACATTGATGTCTCAAGTCATTTGATTATAGCTCTTTTTTTCCTCTGATATTTTTAGATTTTCATAACTATGATTTTGACTTATGTGATCTTTCCTGCTAACTATCTAAACTTTCTGCTTTTTAGAAGCTGAAGCATATGGTTTTAAGTAACATAGATATAGTATCCTTTCCTCCTATGCCCCCTCGGGATTGTTCTCAGGTATGTTGACCCGCATTCTTGGTTCTGACTTCCTATGTGGCTATATACCGGATGTTTTGATTTAATAGGAACTCTTTGGGTACTTATAGGTACAACGACTGGCTGCAATATATCGTTTGAAAAGTGGCTGCCTAGGTTCTGGCAAGAAAAGGTATGTTCTGATTTCCGTAATATTTTGAAAAGTTGCTGGTTTTCCTGATCATTTTATTTTAGCTGCTGTGAAGGTTTTAGCAGTTTGAAGTTTGAGTCATCTGCTATCATGGAATTGTAACTTTGTAAGCTAGTTAGTCCAACACAGTAAGACAAGCAAAAAGACTTAGGCATCACTAGCTTTGTGATATGTACTTATCTACTTTGACTTGCATTAGGTGGCAACTTATTTACAGTGTTGCAAGGACAATGTCCTCCTTTCTTGGATATGTGGTCTAGAACTCTGTTTTAACCTAACCTTAAGGCCTTTTTTTATCACCAAATTTGGCATTTTTTGGTCGTTTGTGATGTGCATAATCTGCTACATGAGCTTTTATGCACTAATAATTATTTTGCGTACGCTATTAGATTGCTTATATAATTATTTTGTTTATTGATGACATGTCCTTGTGGATTTGGAGGAACTTTATTGGAAATTTTAACTCTCATATGACAGATGATACAAACTTTCCACTTCCATAAAATAGTTGACTTATGGATTGTGTTAGAAAAAATATAATCTGTTTGGGATAAATAGAATACATTGTACTATGCAAAATGATGCTGCGACTGTACTGTCTGTTAATCTTGACTGAAGAGAGTGTCAGGTTTATCTTAATACTTGGACCTATTCGTCTATGCCCATCCTATATGAACTTGGTATGCTTTGATCTACTCTTGCCCTGACATTTGCCTTTTGTCTAGGTTTGTAACTGTAAGTCGAACACAACACACCTCTATGCCATCTGCAAGTGATGAAATTCGTCTAGAGAAGGTAGGTTCATCTCAGCAGTCTGTAGAAAGTCAAACATGAAATTATCTTCTCATTCCAACGTCGGTTTAACATTCTGATTCATGGACTGGTGCATTTTTTATCCACAGCTGATTGGATCCAGCAAGGATGATGCTGATTTCCCATTGGTTAATACTCCTCAAAGTACCCGTGCCCATGTCCGTAGTGGGTCTGCTCAGAAAAAATTTACCAAGAAATTGGCTGACCAACAAGGCAGCTGCAGCAGCAAGAGTGGGAAGATAAGGAGTGGGACAAAGCCTGGAGGATACAATCAGCCAGTGTCATTTGTCCCCTGTGGTGTAATTCAACCGGAGATCGTCCCTGTCAGCACTGTTGGACTAAATGACAACTCCCCTCAAGAAATCAAAGCTGTAGACAATTCCCCATCAATGATTGGCTCATTCGAAGTTCACACCAAGGGATTTGGTTCAAAGATGATGGCTAAGATGGGATATGTGGAAGGTGAAGGTTTGGGGAAAGAAGGGAAGGGAATGGCATCACCCATCGAGGTGATTCAACGACCCAAATCTCTAGGATTAGGAATGGCATTTGTTGAAAATAGCAGCGAAACTGTGAACATAACTACAAGTGGAGGATCAGCTAGGAATTCCACTCCAAATGTCAGATCAGCCAGGAATTCCACTCCAAAAGGTGGATCAGTGAGGAATTTCACTCCAAAAGGTGGATCATCGAGGAGTTCCACTCCAAAAGGTGGATCAGCCAGAAATTCCACTCCAAAGATTGGTGCTTTTGAGAAGCATACTAAAGGGTTTGGGTCAAAGATGATGGCAAAGATGGGATTTGTTGAAGGAATGGGTTTGGGCAGAGATTCTCAAGGCATAGTTACCCCATTGGCAGCTGTGAGACGCCCTAAAGCCAGAGGCTTGGGCGCTGAAGGTTAAAGGTCATAAGTCATATGATCTCTAAAAGCTTGTGTTCAAATGCCGATTTGCCCAGTCTCTCCCACTGCTGCTGCATTACAGCTCTGCTTATAGCCTTGTAGGATGATCCCAAAGTCGTCGATTGAGGTCAACAGATATAATCAAATTTATAGTTATTTAACAGTGAACTGCTTTAGGTTCATGTACTGTTAAACTCTTAGATAGCATGTAAATTGATGATAAAAATATGTGATGCTGGGTGCATTTCAAGTTTTTAGTCTGTAATCTGATGTCAATTAAATGGATTTTAAATCTTTTAAAGCAATAAAGGTATCTCGTTACCACCAAATAGAATTGAACCCTAAATGTGTCATGTAAGAAAACAACAAGGTTCATTTACCTTTACAAAAAAAATAGTCTTTATCCCATTAAAATGAGCTCATGAAAACATTAAAACAATATACTTCATATCTATACTGTTTTATCAAATCCGACATAGATACATATGAATATCAAAGTTTTATCAATTTAGCTATATACAAATATATACAATACGGTGTACATGATTTTTTAACTCATTGAATGAAGTACTTTTTACTGAGCTCTTTCCCAAATTAAAGTCAAGAAGAACCGCAATTCCCAAATTGCAGCCAAATCTTTTTATTTTTCCATTCTACCGTCCACGTAAGCACTGGTTAAAAAACCGGTTTTTTTTTTTCCGGTCCAGGGTAAACCGCTACTTGAAGTAGCGGTTTCTTTGCAATAAACCGCCACTTCAAGTAGCGGTTTCTTAGTTTAAAACCGCTACTTGAAGTAGCGGTTTGTTTACAAAAAACCGCTATTTTATGTAGCGGTTTATTTTGGAAAACCGCTACTTCAAGTAGCGGTTTACTTTGAAAAACCGCTACTTGAAGTAGCGGTTTACCCTGGACTGGTTTTTTTTTTCAAACTTGCATAATCACTCAAAAAAAAAACCTGCAAGTTGTGTACCTGTAAAACATGAGATATATAGCATATTTTCAACACAACCACCATAAATAACAAGTTTATGAAGATCTAAGGAAGTCGAAATTGCAAAGTCGAATATTTTTCAATTGATTAAATATAACAAAATCCAATTCTAAGCATTTACAAAAAAATTAGTATAGTTCCAAAATATACACTTAGCTCGGGCGTTGCTTCTTCCCATGAGGTGACGATGAAGATGATGCAGCTGTCTCCTCTGGAATGTCATCCAGGCCAACTCCAACCCCAGACGTAGTGTTGCTACGCCGTCGGTTTCTCTGATACTGGCGATGCACTAGTGGAGGAGATGTCATGATAGTATGCTGAGAAGGAGTCGGTGGACGGAAGGCACGTGCTGAATGGCCTCCACGATGAGGTGGTGGTCTGATCGGCATAGTGTGCACAGTAGAAGATGAAGACGTGGACGGTCGAGGCTGCTGAATAAGGTGTGACTGCCCCACCCTAGACAAGGTTTGGCCACAAAATGATGTAAAACCCTGCATCGTCTGTATGGCAAATGGTATAGCCGTCTCTGGTGGCAAGTGGGAGATGGTCTCAGTAGCTCCCGATAGCTGGACGTGCAAATCAGCAAATGCATGTGCCTACATTTAAGTGTAGTTTTAATGTTAGTAAAATGAAATCAAAAACGTAAGAACTAGATTGAAATGAAGTGAAGTTCATACAAGCAGGAGGTCAGAGGTAGCTGGCTGGTAATGACTCGGGGGGCGCTCCTGCGAAGGTGGAGTAATGACCAGTCTTGTTATGCCCAGGTCGCCGACAAACACTGCATGCCTTCTTCACACGATTGGGACGCTCATCCATTTCATTTCTCCCCCATTGTTATATGTCTCATTTCCTAACCAAGACATCCATGAGTTATTCAAACGAGGATCAACTTGCGCCACTTCATTGAAGTCTGAAGTGGGGGCGCTTCCTTTAATTGCCTTATCACGAGCTTCAATTACCTCATCATCATCATCTTCATCAGTGTCATTCATCTCTGCATCGCCAAATACATCAACATTGTTTGGGTCAAGAGAATCAAGAATGCCTTGTGGTTGTGTGCTTGTCGAGGTTCCAACATTAGGCGATGAGGCCGGAGACCTAAACTGTGAGAGATGGTCATTGACATAATGTGGATCAACAAGCATTCTTGTGAATGACCCTATGCCCACACTTTGAACACCAGTGGAAAACGGTTGATCCACACTACCAAAAAAAATCCATCCCCTGAAAGGAACCAGTGTTAGTTTGCACAACTGGCTCCTTTGGAACTTGTTCAATGAACAATTGCATTGCAACAGAAGAACTCTGAGTCACAGCAATCCACATAGCTCTAACAGCGTTGTCGTCATTTAACGGAATTACAACATATGCCCCAGCCATAGGATAACGCATAACCACCTTCAACTCCACACCTCTAGGATCAACACTCAATTCTTCATATAGCTTGTTCAGAACTTGTGAATATGTCATCGCAGAATGTACAAACACAAATTTTTGATTCCCACCCCTATATGTTATATCGCTATCTTTGTGGACAATTTCTCCACCCCAATAGCAATATAGAGGGTAGTTCGGAACCTCCATGTTTCATTCTAGAAAAGACCATTATTAATCAAAGATATTAGATTGCAAAAATTCATTAACAGTGTGGCAATGTCCTAACATCAAGCAAGCAAACTACACAATTATAGCAACCTAAACTGAGCTATGAAGGTCTTAATACCTCTTGAAGCTCAACATGGGCATAAGTCATGACTACATGTACTTTGAGCTCATGTACTTTGTGTATAGAAGCTCTATTTTCACTTTCAAAATCAGCAATTATAGCAACCTAAACTGAGTAATGTGATCGAAACCATTAATAATTCTACAAGGGTTATATGTAAGGTAAGTAAATCAACAACAACAACCAAAACCAACCACAAACATACATACAATTCTGAAACTCAATAACAACAACAATAAACAAGAACACTAACAACAACAACACAACCAAAACCGAAACTCAATAACAACAACAATAAACAAGAACACTAACAACAACAACACAACCAAAACCAACAACAACAACACATACATACAATTCTGAAACTCAATAACAACAACAAACTCAATAACAACAACAAACCCAATAACTGAATACAAAAAATAATTAGGGCACTTACCACAAACAAGAAGATCAGCGGTTTATTAAACAGGAAATTATACCTGTTAGAAAACCGCTACTTGAAGTAGCGGTTTATTAAACAAAAACCGCTACTTGAAGTAGCGGTTTATTAAAAAGAAACCGCTACCTGAAGTAGCGGTTTATTAGTAAAAACCGCTACTTCAGGTAGCGGTTTTGCTGTAGACCGGATTTAAAATTTCTTCCCCCTGAACCGGTGACGTGGACGGTACTTTGGGAATTCTTAAAACTTTGGCTGCAATTTGGGAATTGCGGTTCTTCTTGACTTTAATTTGGGAAAGAGCTCCTTTTTACTAGGGATAATTTCGTTGCAGTGAATAAATAAACACCTAACACCTTTTTTTTTTTTTTTTTAAAGGGAAATAAACACCAAACTTATTTCATTGGAAATTTGGAATATTGCAATGAATAAAACTAAGCACCAAACTTGAGTAAAAAAAACAAAAGTTAAATATTGCAATAATTTGGGAACAAATATGTGAATCTCCCACCGGCCACTTTCCAATTTTTAGTTACAGTATGCACCAGCAAGAAAGAAGACGTTAATAACACTCAATTGGTATTCAACAACAGAAATTGAGACAAGTCTCAAATTTCCCAAATCGCGAAAATGGCACCCAATTCACCGCCGTCTCTCGCTAATCTTCTCCCAAAAAGCCTATTTTTCCAGAAAACTGTAATCTTGACCATCACCTTCTTCGCCTACGCCTCTCTACACGCTTCTCGCAAACCCCCAAGCATTGTCAAATCAGTCCTTGGACCTGAAATCTCCAGAAATGGCAGCACCCCACTTCATGATTTGGCTAATTCTGAAAAGGGATGGCCTCCTTTTAATGGAACTCGAGGAACTCATCGATTAGGTGAGCTTGATCTAGCTTTCTTATCTTCTTATGCAATTGGGATGTTCTTTTCTGGCCATTTTGCTGATACTCTTGATCTTAGATTGTTTCTTTCATCTGGGATGTTGCTTAGTGCTCTTTTTACTGTGGCTTTTGGATTTGGGTATTGGTTTCAAATTCATAGTTTCTTGTATTTTGTTGTTGTTCAGATTTTGTGTGGTTTTTCTCAGTCTACTGGTTGGCCTTCTGTAGTTTCTGTTGTCAGTAATTGGTTTGGAAAATCTAAGAGAGGTCTGATCATGGGGGTTTGGAACTCCCACACTTCTATTGGGAATATTTTGGGTTCGATTGTTGCCTCGTCCATGTTGAAATTTGGGTGGGGTTGGTCCTTCTTTTGGCCTGGATTCTTTTTGTTTTTGATTGGAATTCTTGTGTATTTGTTTCTTGCTGTGAGCCCTGAGATTATTGGTTTGTCACTTCCAAGCGAAATCGAGTTGAACCCAATTGAGGCTTCTGATCATGGGGAAGCTGAACATTTGGGTCTCCTCCAATCCAAGGATTCAAGTCCCCTGGAAGAAGTAAAGCCTCTTGAAGAGGAGGAAATCAATTCTTTGGATGCAATCGGGTTTATAGAAGCTTGGAAACTGCCCGGAGTTGCATCTTTTGCAATCTGCCTGTTCTTTTCCAAGCTTGTGGCGTACACGTTTCTGTATTGGCTACCATTCTATATAAGGCACACAGGTAATAATGCATCTAACTTTTGAGTTACTGGTTTTGGTGTTTCTCAGTGCAGATAATTGGAATATTCAGTTTTGACATGGATTTTATTTTGTTATGGATTTGAAGCTGTTGCTGGTGTGCACTTGTCTCATGAAACTGCTGGATTGCTTTCAACCATATTTGACTTTGGTGGTGTTCTTGGAGGTGTTTTGGCTGGTTTGCTTTCTGACAAACTTGAAGCTCGGGCAATTACCTCTGTTTCATTTCTCCTGTTATCAGTTCCAGCTCTTGTTCTCTACCGTGTTTATGGGAGTAGCTCAATGTTTGCCAATAACATTTTGATGTTTCTTACGGGCTCACTTGTGAACGGACCTTATGCTCTCATAACCACAGCTGTGGCTGCTGATCTTGGGACACAGACTGCAATTAGAGGGAATTCACGTGCATTGGCTACAGTCACGGCAATAATAGATGGCACTGGTTCTGTTGGGGCCGCTATTGGTCCAGTTCTAGTTGGTTATATTTCCACCAGTGGTTGGAATACTGTGTTTGCCATGCTTATTACTTCAATCTTCATAGCAGCACTGTCCTTGG